GCCGTCTTCACGGATCCCGCAGCGCCCGCAGCCTCAGCCTCCCTCGGGTGCTCGGCAATCCCCCGCGCGTCGCGCCTCCGCCGGCGGCTGCCTCGACCGGCACGTCCTCCCTCGCCGAGGCGCTGCGGCGGCTGCGAGGAGCCGGCGAGAGCTCTGGGTAAGGTCTGAGGCAGCTCGTCTGCAGCTCCCGCGCGCGCTGGCCGGCCCCTGCACCTCCTCCGCCGCCCTCCCCCCACTCCTCCCCCCTCCCACTGCCACCCCCACCCCCGGGGTCCCGATCTCCTTGCGCTCCCCACTCTCCAGCCCACTCCACGCCTTCCTCCTTCCTTCCCGCTCGCGCCCCCAGAGTCCCTGCACTTCACCTTCCTTGCCACCTGCAGCCGGGCCACTCTGGCGGGGGCGCTCACGGCCCCCTACTCCAAGCTCCCTACGCTTTGCCGGACTGCGGCGCCCGGGACGCGGCCGTGCCCTCGGGGCGGGGAAGAGGTGGACCCGCGGGGGTGAGGGTGGGGGTGCCTGCAGGCCAGTGAGGTGGCCGCACCCCAGCGCTCCCCGCCCCACACACACCCCCGCAGGCCTGCTCTGGCAGCACCGAGCCGGAGGCCGCTTTCATCCGCACACTTGGCCGCCGGGAGAACGCCGGAGATCCGGAGCCTGTCGGAGCGCTGCGGGTGCACCCGGGACTCGGCAGGAGCCGGGAGAGTTTTAAATTGGGGCGAGCCAGGCCCTGCGGCCACTGGCGGGCGGAGCTGGATTAGGGCAGTGGAATTGGTCCAGGAAATTTTGATTCTCTTCATTTCCTTTTGCAACATTTCTTTTTCTTTTGCTGCTGCAGGATAAAATGAACGTTTATGAAAACCTGCGGGCCCAAGGATGACAACCCATTTTGCAGGCTATTTCAAAGAGAAGAACAGTCCTCCCTCTCTGGCATTGACTTTTGTTTCTCTACCCATGTTTTAGTAAAAAACAGTTTCTGTCCTGAAAGGTCCGGAGGCGCTCTTGTGGAAGACTTGCTTGAGTGCGGGGTCTAAACTTTCCGAGAGCCGATGGGGGAGCCACGTTAGCGCCCCACAAGTTACCGGATGTGATGATCCACGCTCTGCTCTGCCCAACAGCCATCGCGCCATCAAACCGAGCTCTGGAGTCACCTAATTCAAATCCCCACAGACTTAGTGATTGAGTTGCGGAGAAGGGATGGGGCAGTCTCCCCTCCCCCCACCCCAGCGTCTTTGCACACGAGGACAGCATCACACTTTGTTTAAACTGTTACCGGCGTGTCTCTAATGTACGAGTACCAGTTTGGCCTAATACAGACTACCGCGAGCAATGCACAGGGAAGCCTAAGCGCGCGTGGGCGCGCGCGCGCGCACACACACACACACACACACACCCGCAAGAAAACAAAGAAACAAACAAAAACAGGCGGGTGAAGCGGTGCAGGCGAGCACAAGGGTTCAGTGCAAAGCTGGGGAGGCGGCATTCCCCGAGGCTTCGTTCTGCAGGCTCCTGAGAGGACACTGAGTTCATCTCTTGGAGGTCGGGGCCAGTCGAATTCGAGACGAGTCCGCGGCAATGGCCAACCCTTCGGCTGCACAGCGCCCCTCGTCCCCTCGGGGAGGCCGTTTTTCTCTGCACTGTCCTGAAAGCAAACAAGCCACAGGAAAACGTCCCTCTGTGTTTGCTGTGAATTCAAGTAAAGCGCCGCCAGGCCTCCTGGCGGCCAACCCTCCGCCCCGAAGGGTGATTCTGGGAAGAGAGGAGGATTATAAAGGGAACCCGGTTGTGTGCGTTTCCCTTGAAGCCCTTAGCCGCCACCCTTTTCAGGCTAGTCCTGGAGTTGGGGATCGCTGGATGCTGGCTTGCTGGTGGGGCGTGGGCAGGAAACCCTGAGGCTAGAGTGCTACCCCTAGGAGGCCTCCCCCCAAAGCTGCGTCAGCATAGACCCCTCGGGCGCCTCTCACCCTCCATCCCCCCACCTCAATCCCTCTGCTCCCAATGTTCGCTAGGAAAACAAACCCTAAAGCACTACAGCTGGAAGGAACTTCATAAGCTCTCGGGGCGGGAGGCAGAGGTCACCGGAACCCCAGGGGGCAAGAGGCTGGGAAGTGGGATGTTGACGAGTCCCTTCACATAAAGAGAGACAACGAGGGTCTAGAATGACACTGAATCTGGGAACTTTCGGGCGGAAATCTCTGGGTCTCTTAGGAATGCAAAGACCATGGACTTTTTTCAGACACGTCTCCCAATTTTCTCCAAATGATCAGGGAAACTGGGGAGTATAAGTAATTGGGAGTAAAGGATTTTTTTTTTTTTAAGGAAAACAGCTCTCAAAACAGGTTTGGGGGGCATTCCCACTACCAAGGCGACCTCCTTCCCTCCTTCGATCACCTAGCCACCCTATCCCTTTGCCACTGGAACAGTCTGGCATTATTTGGTCAGGGCCCCGTTTCACTCCAGTGCACATCGGGGGCTGAGACCTAAATACTCATTTGATATAGCGCAATAATCCTTTTCTCATATTTGATGGGAATGTTTTCCATATCCCAGTATTTGACAACATCTCCCTATAGGAACAGGTTTGTATTTATGTTGGTAAAATGTCCCCTGCCTCAAAGTCTATTGTAACCCAACACCTGACAACCCCGAGTCCCATTTCTGTTTGCAGAAAGGGTTTATTCAAGCACATAATGGGATCCCAGCAGAAAGCCTTTCAGAACAAGGGCCTATGGTAAACTTCACCACATGAACTCCGTTTCCAGGGCTATTAAGCTTTTAATTGGAAAATAGCAGAGGAAATTTCAAGGTGACTATAACGTGTTAGCAGTTAGTGCGGAGAAGAAAAGCCCAAGCGGGAATGAATGTAGAAAGCATATGGTCCGAATCACGTTTAGTAGCGGCCTGTTCTAATAAAGTCCCCGCCACTTATGCACTTATGGGAAAAATCATCAAAGAAATTGGGAAGGGAGGAAGGAGGATTACAAGTAATGTAACCTCACTCGATTGGATCCACTCATGTTCTGCTCTGGGTGGTGCGAGCGCTCCAACCACAGTTATTAACTAGGTAGAATTGTGACAGGTATTAACAGCAGAAGGGTCAAAGAGAATGCGCGTATGTCGTCGTCTTTCTCTCGGCGCACAATCTCGTGGTGTGTGTGTATTTAAAAGCTGGGAATGCAGATGCCCTAGCTGAGAAGCCGAAGATGTTCTGACTCCAAGTCCAGGAGTCCTGGTGGATGTTTCTCAGCGAGAACCAAAAACAAAAACAAAAAACCCCCACTTAATCAAAAGGACAGTTTCACATTGTCCCAGATGTAGAATGCAGCAGGAAATTTTCTGCTTTGCTGGATTCTCATGGAGGGGGAGGTCAGGGTTCCTATTTTCCGTTTTAATCGCGACCACGGTGACGCTGGAGGCTGGGGCGTGCAGAAAGCCCTGTGAATGCAGGAAAATGAGTCCCCTCTGTCCGCGCGTGAACTTCTCGGCTCTCATCCCGTCCGCGCCTCTAGGCATTGCTCTTTGGCCAGCTTCAAATTGAAAGTGGGGAACGAGTGTCCGGTGAGGCGGTGGGGCAACCAGCAATTGATTTCTTGAGGTGACAATAATGCCCTTGTTCTCCCTCAGTTAAATGGGGAGAGACTCCTGCGCCCCTCCCACAATATCCCCGTAGCCACCCTCTACGGCGCGCGGGGTCGAGGGCAGAGGCCGCGTGCGGCCTGGGGCGGGGTTGGGGGGGGGGACGCGAACGAACGTGTCTGGCGGGCTCAGCGGAAGGAAGGTTCAGGACGGGCCTGTCCCCACACCATCTTGGCAGTGGGCGGCCTGAGGATCCTTAAGGGCCGAGGCCTTCTTCAGTAAACGGGGCGTAGACCAGCCCGCAGGCCCTGTGCAGACTGCGGATGCTGCTGCCTGCTCTGCGCTTCACGTTCTCGAACTCTCGAAACCAGCAGGGGCTCATGCCTGGGCGCGAGCGCTCCCGCTCGTGCAGATGCCTCAGACCCTGTCCTAACCCCCGAGGCCGTGCCCGCCGCCATCCTTTGGGGGTGGGGTGCGGGGTGTCGCTCTAGCCTTGCTTCATCCGAGGGGCCCACTGAGCGCCGACCTCTGCCCCGCGCTTCGCAGGGGGAAGTGGAAAAGCGCGTCCTCGCGGCGCTCCCCACGGGGCCAGGACCCCGCCCGCTGCCTCTGCCGCAGGAGGCCCCTGGCGCGGCCGCTCCCTCTCCCCGCGCGCGCAGGGTTTGGGGCTCCCGGGCCCGGCCCGCCCCGCCCCGGGGTGCACCGGGGGCGCCGGTGCCGCCCCTACTGCACTTTGTTAGAGGCTCGCAGTAGGCGGCCTGCAAACCCTGTCCGCCTTCCGAGCAAAGGGGAAAAAAAATAACATGTCCTCCCCAAAGGAAAAAGAGAGCAGCGCGGACCTGAGAGCATTTTAAAGATGTTTCCCCTGCGACTTTAGCATTCAAAACAAAACAAAAAGGCCAAGGAAATCTTTCTAGGTACTGCGAGCAACACTGAAGGGGCAAGGAGTGCTTGCCCGGTGCTCGCTCTCGGGGCGTTCAGTTCTTCCCCAGGACCAGCCGCTCTTCCAGAACGCCCTTCTCCCTCCGCGTCCCCTCTCGCCCCGCGGCCCAGGAACAAAGTCCCGCTGCGGGGGAAGCGGGAGGCTGTGCGGGATTCGGCGAAAGACGCCCCAGTTCGGCTGTGTGGGGGGGGCGGGGATAACGGGAAACGGCGGGCGCCGCCCGCACCCCAGGGACCTGGCTGCGAACTCCACGCACGGAAGCCCGACCAGAGGCGGGAGAATAACGCTGGAAGGCCGGGGCCAGCGACCCACGCCGAGGGACCTAGGCCCAGGGCCTGCGCTCTCACGGCCTGCTCGGGAGCCTCCTGGGCGGGGCGACTTCCGGGGCACTTGGGGCTCCGCCCATCCACCAGCGCCCCGCCCCCAGCCCTGTTCGCCCCGCCCTGGGCCCTCGCCTGCCCGCGGGGCCGCCTCTCGGAACCCGCGGACAGTTAGCCGAGCGTTTTTTG